AAAAAAAGAAACTGTTTTCAACTCTTATCTTAAAGTTCTTATGAGTTAAAGGAAAAAAGCAATTTAAAATAATCTTCTTTTATGTTAGTAAATTTTTTTATGCTCGTAATTCAGTATTTTTTTTTTTGTCGATAAACGATTAATAGGTATTAACTTAAATGTTTAATTTCTGTATTACAAAGATATATTTGCTTTCTTAATTCCAGACCTTAATCGTCTCGATAAATCGCCACTCCTCGCCAACGGCTACAATCCCCCGCCCATCAATCACATGGCTTTCATGCAAATGAATCATCATCCCGGCACGGCGTTAATGTCACCCGGTATGCCGCCGCATGGCCTACATGCACGACCTGATAGTCAAATGTTGAAAGCTGCCGTTCAAGGTGGTATGTCCGCGGCGAATATGGATGCCTTGGCGCGCTCCGGCATTTGGGAGAATTGTCGCGCAGCCTATGAGGATATTGTGAAACATTTGGAACGGTAAGAATATTTGTCATATTATTTTTCTCCGCTTGAACCCTAAAGCATCCACACAATAGGTTAATAAGTTAGCATAACATAAGGGCTAGTGCACACAAAGAGCTTAACGGTGAGTTGAGAGACGAATTGATCAACGAACTGAGAGGCACAGATAGAGCATGCATTCGCACACCAAAAGTGTTTTAAGCGAAGATCGGACCTGAATGTGCTATATTTACACTCTCAGCATCTATCAGCGCGCTTATAAGTTAACCACTGAGCTCTGTGTGCACTTAGCCTAAAAGTTTTACTTCTTTGATCTTATTTTCTGCCTTCTCTGTTCACTTTCATGTTCCAGGCTTCGCGAGGAATGCACCGATGAGCGCCAACAAATGAACAGCGGCGGTGGTGTCAATGAGCCAAAGATCCGCGATTTAAGCTCACGAAATTGTAAGTTCCTGCGTCCTGCACAGCAAATATTACCGCTACTTTTAAAATACTTCAATGCCTCTTATATTTCCTTCTACTATTCTATTATTTATAGCTGGTTCCCCGAACCGTCAGAGCCCCGTGCTGAATCTCTCCAAGTCCGGCGGCAATACGGACCAAGGCAGCAATTGTGATGATCGCAGTGAACGCAGCGAAATGCATTCGCCGGTACATTCGGTGCGCGAGGGTAGCGTCGGTGGCGGCAGTCAGGGTGTGATTGGCGTGGAGGACGACGATGACGAAAATCTGAGTGATGATAATGCGTCAGAGGTCGATGAACGTTGCAACAAAGATGACGAAGGTGAGTGCACTTTGTTTTTCATCAATAAAACTGTAGAAGCGCGATAGGGCGGGACTTCATGTGGGGTGTGAAAGACAAGCATGCATACCAACAATAGCAGCACACAAAAGCTGTTTGCCACACTGACTAATGTTTTTTTAACGCATTCCATTCTCTTCTTCTTCTTCTTCTTCTTCATTTTCTCCTTTTTCCTTTTCTTCTTTATTTGCTCGCCCTTGTTTGCGCAGACTTGAGTGATACTGAGCGTGATAATATAACATCGTCGACGGCGGCGTCGTCACAACGTCATCCACTGCACCATCACCACCCACACCACCACCACCAGCTGCACCATGGCGCCAGCAATGCTGTAGGTGTCGGTGAACGTGGCGTGCCAGGCGGACCCGGCGGTGGCGGTGTCGGTGTAGGTGTCGGTGTTGGTGGCCTTGGCGTGGCTGCTGCAGCTGCTGCCGCCGCTGCTGTTGGTCTCAACGAACGCGACGTTGTCAACTCACACGCGGCACTACAGCAAACTCCCGTCTCCACACACAATGCCGCTGCCGTGGCAGCGCTGCAACATCATCACCAGCGTGCTCTGAACTATTCACAATTGGCTGCGTCGGCTGCTGTTGCCGGCGGTGCTGCTGGCTGTGGGCCAGGTGCGAATTCTGCCCTCGCGAATGGACCTGGCTCGGGTGGCGCGCTTGCTGGCACGGAGGCTTTGTTGGCGGCCAATGACGCCACTGCAGCTGCTGCGTTGGCCGGTGGCCTCGCGCTTGGCCCACTGGCTATGGATCCGCACGGTGCACCCTCATCTACAGAGACGCTGCTGCGCAACATACAAAGCCTGCTGAAGGTGGCTGCGGACAATGCGCGTCAACAGGAGCGACAAATCAGCTACGAAAAAGGTGAGAAACATTTGAATGGCTTTTGGAAAAATAAAAGAAAGGGCACAAAAGACATCAAGACAAGTTTTGCTTTGTCGCCCATTGTTGCTGTTGGCAGCAGACGGCCGCTATTAGCCTGTTGAGGCAAAGCGCTTTTAAAACTTTTTATATTTTTTGCTTTTTTTTTGGCAGCCTTAATTTAGCTTTTGCTCTGCCGCTTTGATCTTTGCGCTTGGTCAATAAATCTTTAATCAATTTTCTCCGTCTTTTTCCTTCTTTCTTTTTCCACTTGTTATCTGTAGCCGAGCTTAAAATGGACATTTTGCGCGAACGCGAAGTCAAAGATTCATTAGATCGACAATTAGCCGATGAACGGAAACTGAGAGGTGAGTTACAACAACAAAAATTATATTAAAACAAAGGCACTGTAAAATCAAAAAAGAAATTGTTTCCATTGCAACTGCAGTCGCTTGCAGCTAAAGCGTTTAAAGATACTTTAAAGATAGAAAATAGCAAGTTATGTTGTAGTAGTTGTGCATTAGGGTGCGTCACCCTCCATAAAAAAAAAAAACGGCACTGGTTTCCATCGGAATAATACAATTTATTATATTTTACGACCTCCGTCACTATAATAAGAATTAGGTGAGCTGAACCGATTTGAAAATGTCTCCAAAAATCTCATTATTTTGATTCCGTTGATAAAATTTGTATGCAGACCTTTTAAGCTTAAACTCTTCTATTACCTGAGTTGATTTTTGATAAAAAAAATATATATTTTTAAAAATTTATTTCATTTATACAGAACGTTTGCCCAGTTTCACCAATCAATTTTAAAACTTATCAGACTGTTAAAATTTAAAATGACAAGTTTTCCAAAATTGATAGGTGCAACCGGGCATTAATATTTGGAAATCTTTTAAAATTGATGCAGCTCACGTAAATCTTAATATATTTTTTAATGTAATAAATTATTTAATTCCGGCAGAAAACCGCGACGTTTTTGTAGTGAGGCACCCTAATGTTTATACATATATCTTCAGTAGATATGTACATATGTTTATATATAGCTCTGCGCTGTTAAGTAATGTCAGATCGGTTACGCTGACAACATTTTGTGCGGCTGTTAATTTACATTTTATGCTAATTTGAGGTTAAATGAAGTCAGTTGTAGATTGTGGGCTGGAGTTTAGCTAACACAATGAAAAAAGCACTTCCGCAACACAAAAAATTACAATAACATGGCGAGGTTAACCGAGTCAATCGGCCATATTATGGTTGTCGACGTCGACGTCTATGTTATGTTTTCTTCAAACTCTCCCAAGTCCAAAGACAGCTACGATGACCACAGTATTTTTGCGGAAAGATGCTCCTCGCAAAACTACTGTGGCCAGCGAAACCAAAGTTGGACTGATGAAAGTTATTTTTTAGCGAAAAAATTACATTCGACAACTATAATAGGGCCGAATATTTACAGTTTTTGATAGCAATCCCGGCAATAGTGTACACAGAGTTGGAAGTTGACATTGGAGCTCAGTTTTCAGTTGGATATACGGAGTAAGGCAGCCGCTGTGGTGTAAAGGTTAGTAGTGCGCGCTACCATTCCTCAGGGCTTGGGGTCAAGTCCGTTTTAAAAAAAAAAGAACAAATTTTTTTTTTCTAAGAGCGCTGACTCCATGCCGTACATTGAAATGTTTTCATGCTCCTTTTAATCTGTTTTAAATCTCCATGATTTACGAATAAACCTGAGCACATTGGTGGGTGGCAAAGAGCGCAGGTGTTCACCTCTCAACAAATCGCGGCTAAATGTCTCATACCTAATTCTTGCAAAGGCGGGGAAGAAGCACAATGGGCAAATGGAGTTGTCATGTACGCCTATTACAATCAGGCGTTTGTGCCACGTGAAGTGACCAGTCAGTAGTCCAAAAAGTTGTCTGCAGTCCCGTCTGCTCAGTGAAAGCAAAGAACTAGATAGACCTTCTGATATTGAAAGCAACATGAGTTTTGCCCACATGCATCTCCTTCAATACCTTCCCAGTCATTGTTAAGCGAAGTATTCACCCAGTTTCGGATGGTGGCTTCGATGGTCGAAGTGGGGTGTACTATAACTGGTTGTGGACCGAGGAATGCTTGCCTGAGCCAACTCTGGCTAAATTGTCAGATGTCTCATTACCAGGTACTCTCGAATGACCTGGCACCCAGAGGGCAGGCCAATGCCTTAAGTGCAGATTGGTTGTCACTGTAGAGACGGCCTTCCCCTCCAGGATTACGAATAGCTCAGCCTGGAAGACCGAAGCATACTCCTCAAGACAAAAGTGAAGCTTATCCCCATTAGCTTCGATAACGACGTCAGATCCTGACCCAGTGTCAGCCATCAGAAGAGACTCGATAATGTGAGTCTGGGTTCAGTGCTGGTATTAAACCAGCATTCAGCCTTAGGGAACTCAACATTGTAGAATCTCTTTAACAACGGTAATGGCGGAGTACTATCCGGTAGCATTGAAACGACATAAGTCGCTTCACTCAGTGTTATACCTA